TGGATTAAACAAAGAAGATGAAAATTCAAATAACTAAGAAAAGTTAAAAGTTGCTGATAAACTGTTCAACTGCTTTGTCAAGATATATCTAAGACTTTAATAGTTTTTCATACATGCATCAATTACTACAAGATGATTCTAATGAGAGTGAGAGTGTGTACAATTAAATTATCCTAGCCCAATCAGAACTTGATGGAAGGAATCTCTTCACTCATGGTTTCCAAAACCTCAGTAAGGTCAAAAAGTGATTTCATTTTGGCCAAATTTCCAACTGGGCAGACATTCTTTTTTGATTCACCAAATTTTAATAATTTCAGCTCCTGGAAGTTAACCAGCAATGGGATCAGCAATTTAGAAGTATGAAAAAGTTATATGAAAGAAAGGTAAGCACCTCTCTCTATTTGGTATTTTATTGAAACCAATAATCCTCGTGGAGCCAAGAGTGTGAAGACTCATTGATTTCAGCTACAGAGAGATTGGTGGATAGCCAACTGCTGAAAAATGAGGGAGGGATGCTGAGTATATTATTGGCCTCTTGGTATTGAAGATTAATGATCAGTTGTCAGTGAATTATCTTGAGCTGGCTAAAGAAATGTGCTAAAAATAGCCCCCAGCAATGTCTCGGGAGTTCTTACGCATATTTATCACGGTTCATAGAGTATCCTGGCCTCAGCTGTGCTATTAACACAAGCAGCCATAAACACACAAGCTGTATATGCAGCGAGAGATGGTTTAAAGTTCACGCCGTTTTATGCAAGTCTAGTTCTAATTATTTAATGAGATAGCAAAAGCTGTTTTCCACAGATACAGAAACAAACAGTGGCAACAGTGGAAGTGTGAGGAAAAACGGGGCATCCCCCACTTCCCTCTAAAGCACATTTGCTGTCAAGAAGCTTTTGCTTTGGTGAGAAAGGAACTTTTTGGAGAAAATCTCCTTAATAGGTAAAAGACAATTTATAATTTAAAATCATTCTGTCTTCAAAAAGAGAAAGTAAATTCCCCTAAATAAAGGAAACTTGACCACAAGCAATACAGCAGCATTTGTCCCTTTTGATCCCATTACGATACCCAGAAGTACTAAATTTGAAAGGTGTGGCAGCGGGCAAAGGCCCCGCCACCTCGCGGCGTCCGCGCGACCAGAGAGTTCGCGCGTCTTCCCGAACGGCGCGCACGTGGAAACGCGTGTCTGCGACGGGGTCGTGCCCGTCCCGGAAGCAGCGCATTCTGGGAGACTCCTGGCCGTCGTCGGTCTGACGTCCAGTTCGTCCAGTCGGGCGTCAGATTAAAGGCCGTGTCCGTTTTTCTCCGGTGTGAGCATATTTTACCGGCCCCGACGCCCGTCGCCTTTTCCAGATCGTGCTAGGCTTGCCTTGAGAGCCGAGAGTACAATGACAAGCCACAGCCGTTGTCCCCGTGGGGTTAGCTGGGGAAGAGGGAAGCGCGAGG